AAGTGAGGTCAAGCAACGCTTTCGAGGCGCTGACCAGTCGTCAGCGACAATAACTGGTTTATTCCCAGCTGACGCAAAAATAGACAAAAACTCATGTCCTGATACAATTGCTCTTGGATACATACCGGGTTTGAAATTTACTTGAGTTGGCAGTATCTGCTGGCCCCAGAAAAAAGGCAAAATCTTGGATAACTTTTGGGTTAAGTATAGTCAATTATCTCTTTTAGAGACTTAGCTCAATCTGTAGATATGTTACATTGATTCAGTACAAAAGAAGTTATGACATATTTTTCCTATCCCTTTCAAAGGTTTTTTTCAAGGACATTGATCCTTTAAACTCCTGAACAACGCATATCATGTGGAAGACTGGCTGACGCCTTTCATGCCACCAAGTCGAGGTATGACCGAGTTGTAAAGTGATAAATTACACATTTCTAGAACAGCCTGTGCGGCATGGAAAGTCAAGGTTGTAGGATATAAATCAAACTCTCACCTCCTTCTCTGAATAGTAAAGTGCAAATGTGAGATCTGACTCATTCTGGGAATAGAACTGCAACTCTGTGCCTGCTTCAACGTAATAAGTTAACGTTCGCGTTTTACCTGCAATTGGAATACATGTACATACGTAGGTAAGTTTTACTGTAAACGATAGAAATTGATTCTAAGCTCTGAGTGGGAACGGTGAATAGTTTGGACAAGCGTTTTTTTTTTGCAAAAATGTTGAATAAATATGATGAAAGTGAGTTTTACCCCAATTCTTTTCGTGTTGAAAATAGCATATACCTCGACAACTTCCACGTTAAGATTGTAATCTCCCACGTACTCAAAACACTCTGCTTCGAAAATAACACCAACATTTCTTCCTTCCCATCTCGTGTGAAATGGAGCGCGTTCAAAAACGTGTTTTCAACGAGAGAAAAAAGCGCATCGGTGTGGTTAGCTTGCGAAAGTAAAACAAAATTCAGGCTCGTTATCTGTTACGGAAGGAGAACACTCCCATTAGGATCAAATTATGTAAAGAGCACGCAAAAATCAAAAGAAGCAGAAAAAATTTGAAGTGTCATCAAATCGAGCAATGTATTTATAAATGTTATCATGGCCGTTTCAGATCGTAAATGGAATGAAATTTTTATCTATTAAAGGAGAGCATTATCAAAAGACAGTAGGCATTTCCCTTAATGATGCATAATGCGCTAATGTTCTTCTTGCACCCTCGTATGTGCTATTTTTATTCCCTTTAATCTATTTTAGGCTTTGCAACTAACTGGATATTGGACTACAAAAAACAAGGTGCACTCCATTCGGGTTCTGACAAAGTTAACATTTTTGAAATAAATGCAAAGCAGTAAACTCGCTTTTTCCTTTTCAAACAGACGCTATCAGAAAATCTTTTATTGCCATGATTAAAACCTTAAATCCTAATTTGAAAGTTCAATGCATATTTACTTATGGCCGAAGCAGTTATTGAGTAGGACAGTGGCCGATTATATTATTTAAAAGGTATCTTTCACTTTTCAATTATTATGCCAACGTTCGTGTAAAAATAAATATCCTTCTTTGCAACTCCTCTTCTCTCGTAGCAGTATTAGATCCGCAAGGTTACAAAATTCTTAGAGATAAGAAGTATTCGGATAAAGATACCGACTACTAAATGCTTTAAAAAAACTCAGCACTTTCAAATCATTTCATAATAGTAGGAAAAGAGCAACTGATCATGCGGCAACCAAGAAAATATGGATTTCTGAAAAGTATAATTTCAGGGATATAATCACTTTGAGCCTTCAGAGAAAGCCGAAATATTCAAAAATTATCTAATTGAAACCGACTTTAATGTATTTACCGTGCTAAAACGTATTTGAAGTCTTGTCGGTATATTAAGCCATTAAGAACTCTAGATTCCTATGCGATAAGATTCAGCTACAACATCGTTCCCACATCGACTAGCAATTTCGATACTCGTTGCTTTCGCGCATTTCATTAAACATAGCTTCAAGGTAAACCACAACAGGCCCACCTGCTGGAGTCGAGATACGATGCATAGCAGCCATACTTGGATAGTCCGGTTTTGGCCGCCAATAGAGATCTTTTGGCACTGGGTGAGGATCTCTGAAGAGAGAGTTTTGCTAAGTAAACAATGACTAATTCTGTATTCCTACTGCTTGTCCTTACTTTAACACTTTCTCATCAGGGATTTTCCCACCATATCGTTCGGGAAGGCAATCGATATCGGCCAATTGCAGGAGATCTTCACGCCAGTTTCTTCCGGTGATCAAAACTCGACTTTTTGATTGTTCTGGTATGAAGGGAGAAAGTGCAGCCCTGGAAAGGAGCCAATGTCTTTTTTTAACAAGACTTGTAATGAATTGTGGCGGTAAGGAATTCAGACAATTTGTACTTTGCCTTTTGAGTGCCCTTTAGTTCCTTTAAACATCAGAACAGAAAGTTAGGCACAAAACATAGCCAATTAAGAA